CAGGCCAGCCACTGCCAAGGTTAATCATGGGAACATGCTCCACTGAACCCAGGGGACTTCCTAGTAAAGGTGCTTAGGAGTACAGCTTCAACTGCCTGCCTTAAAATTTGGTCTTACAAATGCTTGCATCAAGCTTACATTTCTATGATTTTTCTATTAGCTACTGCTACCAATCCTCCCCCACCCAACTTTTTCCTGATGAACAGATATGAAAATCTCAACTTGCAATCTTCCCTGTATATAGGTGCCAAACACTGGATAATGAAGAAAACCGACAAGAAGAATATCAAAGTGTTTGAAAGGACTTGTGGACTTTTTGGAAAGGTGCTGGAGAACTTGTGGATACCCCTGGACTGGCAGATGAACGAACCAGTGGGTCCTAAATAAAATCAAGTCAGAACTGCTCCTGAAGGCAAAAATGATAAAACTGAGACGGTCATACTTTGAACACATCAGGAGAAGACAACACTCACTGGAGAAGACAATCATGCCAGGGAAAGTCAAACGCAGAAGAGGAAAAGCCACTAATGAAATGGATCGATCCTATCAAGGAAGCCACGGCTTTGAGTTACAGGAGCTGAGCGGGGCTGTGAAGGGCAGGATGCTTCGGGGGATGGGATTAATCATCAGGGTCGCCATGCATTGGAGATGGCCTGACAGTTCGGAACAACAGATGTTATGATCTAACCAAGGAACTGCATTGTATAGAGTTTGGGATTTTTTCCCCCCTTGCCTTTTGTCTCAAGCTACCTGTCGCCCTCCGCCTATTCCTCTGAGCGCTCTCTTGCGCAAGTGCGAGAGAGAGAGAGAGAGAGAGAGAGAGAGAGAGAGAGAGAGAGAGAGAGAGACCCCTTCCCAGGAAAACTCCACTGCCAGACTCATTTTGCTTCTGCCGGGGAAGCCCTCGCACATGACAGGAGCCAATCCGGAGCGGGTGCGGCGCCGCGTCACTGCAGGGAGGCGGGCGCTCCCACGCAGTGACTTCATCCTCGGCATTCCCGGCCTCGTTGCTCGCTCTTTTCTCTTTCGCTCTCGCCTCTGCCACGTGGGTTCCTCGCGCGTAGGAAAGCGCAGTCTCTTCGCTCGCCTCCCTTCCCCTGTCGCTCTGCAGAAGAGGCGGCGGCGGGCGAGGAAAGGAGGCGGCGGGTCTCGCACGGACGCCCCTCTCTGCCTTTCCCCGGCCCGCGGGCACGCGCATCCGCATCCGCGTGCAGGCCGCGGGGCGTGGAGGGCTCGGGCCGAGGGTGGCTGCGCCAGGGTCTTCGTCGCGGGAGCACCGGCGGCGCCCCCATCACCCTGCGGGAGCGCGCGCGCGTTCCCAGGGAGTCCCGCTCGCCGGCGGAGGAAGCTCTGCAAGTCTTTTGTAACCGGACACTTTCCCTTTCTTTTTGCATCTCTCCCTCGGCTTGGGAGGGAGCGAGCGCTCTTCCCAAAGGACCGTGCGGAGGAGGAGGAGGAGGAAGGGAGAGAACTGAACCCCGGGCGGGAAAAAAATGGGTGGCGAGCAAACAATGAAGTGGCTTCCGTCCAGAGCAGGCAGATAGTCATCTTGGAGCCCGGCGTTGCCAAACGGGCCGGCTAGCTTCGCCAAAGCCTCGCCCCCTTTGTCCTGCCCCACGAGGGAGGGAGGGAGGGAGGGGGTGGAAGAAGGGAGAGCGGGTACCCGGGCAAGCGTGGCTTCTGAGCTGCTGCCACGTCGGTCGTTTCCTTCCCCCTGTCTTTCGTCGCTGATCCCACCCCGAAAGAGACCCACCCGCCGAAGCTGCCGCTTCCCTGCGGCTCTGACCAAAAACATGTCCCGAAGCGCCTGTTCTGCTCCGGAGCGCGCTAAAAAGTCAGCCCAGTTAGTATCCAGACGTTTGACCCACTGAGTTCAAGGGGCCTTACTCCCTGGGGCGGGGAGGCAGCACCAGGGGCCATGGTTGCCCCACCTCTCAAGCAAGCGGTCCCCACCTGAGCTTCCAGCACTGCCCAGGGACCTTGCAATGCTTCTTGGTCAGTCCGCCTTCCCGGTAAGAGACAGTGTGTTGCGACTTGGCAGATCTGGGCATAAGTCCCCACTCAGCCCTGAAGCTCGCTGGGTGACTTTGGGCTGCTCACTGCCTCTCAGCCTAACCTACCTTGCAGGGCCGATGTGATGAAAAGACAGGAAAGAGGGCAACCGTGTAAATTGTCTTGTGGGGATGGCAAGCAGGGCACGAAGAAGCAAACCGATGGGTACTAGACTGCAGCCAGCATGGCTGTCTTAAATACAGCGCCCAGCACGGCCTTCCATGACCTGCTGCACTCCAAGCATGCTGGACTACAACTGCCAGCAGTCAGACTCTTTCAGAGTGCTGGGTTGGAGAAGGGTTACTGCCCGTGGTGCAGTCCTAGACATGTCAACTCCAGAATAAGTCCCAGCCAGTCCAATGAAACTTACTCTATAGAGAAACATCCACAGTGAAAACAGAATATGCGAGCCAAAGAGAGGAAATCAAAGCGTTAATCCCTTCTCTCTCCTAGGAAGCATTGCTAAATGGAAGATCGCCATCACGGAGGGCCATGGAGCAGGGTGGAGCCCTCACCCCTGGTGTCAGTACAGGAGGAGCAGCAAGTTTCGCCTTCCTCCTGTTGGCACCAGGAGGGCCCCCCACTGCCCCTTCCATCGTGTGATCCAGAGAGAACACACAGTCACCACAATGAGAGAGCGGTCGGGGGGCTCTTGTTGCAGCTGCTCTGTGGAGAGCAGCATCAACTGAAGCCACAGCCAATGTAGCTCTTCAGAGAACCTGCTTGGAGAAACGCCTGGCTCCGAGGATGTCCTTCCTCAGAGCCAGGCATGAGGGGTGCCCAGGAGCTCACCTGTACAGAAGGGAAGAAGCTGGGTGGAAGTGGGAAGGGCGGACCCAATACTGGAAAGGGGTGGGAGGGGTGTGGCGTGAAGACGACAGTGGGGAGGGTGTAAGACCAACCAGGTGCCTCTAGAGCAGCTGTATTCCTCCAGGTGTCATTGGGATGCAGCTCTCATTGTGTCTCACCCTTAGCTATGTTAGTCAGGGCTGGTGGGAGTGGCAGGTCAAACCATTTGGAGGGCCACAAGTTCCCCATCCCTGCTCTAGGACATTGGCTATCCTGACTGGGGCAGATGGGAGAAAGAGGGCACAGACTGCAACATTATACATCGAGCTAGTTGTCATGTCACTTGCTGAGCTAGAAAGCTGTGGCCTGCAGCCAGGGGGATGACCACATGGGGAAACAGATCACCTTATAGGCCCCTTCCAACTCTAATACTACTCTCTCCGGAAGGTTGCAATTTCCCCAACTTTACCCAGATTGGCCACAGCCATTTTTTGCTCTCTCCTCCCCAGATTGTATTTAGAGCCCTCGTGCCCCTGCTCATGGAAGGTCCATCACACACGCTCTTGCGTACCTACCATCGATTTGGCCAGCCCTTTTTCCCTTTCTCTAAGGTGATTGAGGGACAGTGGCTGGTGTTGGCTGGGAGAGCCAGTGCGCCTCCCCACTTTGCCCGTGAAGCTTGCCGGAAGACTTGGGGCCAGTCACCGACTCTCAGCCTCCCTCAGAGGGGTCTGGTGAGGATAAAATGGAGAGGACCACCCCATAAGCCACCTTGGGCTCCTTGCAAGAGGGGAAAAGATGGGCTTAAATCTAACAGCCCAGTATCAAGGATACTATCCAGCCCTCTCGCAGCAGGGATTTCCCTGCCTGAACCGGGGATGCGGTGCGAACGAGGGCTCGCTCTCTTCCGCCACCCCGGCCAGTATTTTGGGCGATGCTGGCCCTCAAGGCGCCGCGCGCCCTTCCCACTCCCGGGGCTCGTCCCGAAGCGCCGTCTCCCCACGCCCACCCGCTGACCCGGGAAGGGGCGGGCGTGGCCGAGGCACGTTTCATGCCTTCACAGGCGTCTCAATAGCGACAGTGTCTGCAGTCCCCACCCCCACCTCCCGCTGCAGCCCCGCCTTCCAGGATATGACCGTCTCCAAAATGGGGAACCCGCTTCCAGATCTCCAAAGTACCTTCACGACCGAGGTAGATGCATGCTGGAAAGCGGGAAGAGAAATGCCCCCCCCCCCCGCACACACGTTCTTCAGGGGCGCAGGTTCTTTGCACCAGACATTTACTTGCGAGTAGCCCTCTTGATTTCCATCATGTACCCGCTAAGACCCCGGAACATTGGAAGGGAGAGGACTTTTCCTAGCAGTTCATTTACTCTTGCGCAAGCCCCTTTTACGGTTCTCTACCTTTTGGGATAAGGAGCTGCGGTTGGATCCGCGCTGCTGTGGGAGTAGCCCGTAGGGTGGAGGTGTTCGTGCATTCACTGAATTTGGGGTGGAGCAGGGCGGGGCTTGGGCTGCGATCAAGTTATCAGCATAGAGAAAATAGGCATGACCCCGTCAAAGGTAACCTTTCCTGGACCGTTTATGCCGATGGAAGGGAAGCGCGTGCAACGCAGCCCGCAAAGGGGGAAGGACCGCAGCCTGCAGAAACGTGGTCGATGCTGGCCGGACCGGGGGGAATACATCGTCCTGCCAGCCTCAAAGTTGGCACCGACCTGTCTGTCCAGGAAGGTGTGCCAGGGTAGCGGGAGAATTTCACTTAACCGAGGGTACACACCGCACCTTCATTGAAAATAATAATGGATGTGAAAAAGATATTCCATCATTTAGGTAGCTTCTCTTAGGGGATACTGTAGGAGGTCACCCCTATCAGACCCCCACTGGAGAGACGACTAGCCATTCACGATCGAGCGAACGTTCATTCAGGGCTCATGTATATTCCTTGGGGCAGGGAACCCGCCGTGGCCTCGGCACAACACGATTGCTGCCCCGCCGGCGCGTCTGCCTCCCTACCCCACCCCCACGCTGAACAAAGTGAGATCTGTCTTTCCCCTCCCCTCCAAGAAAAGGGGACCTCCCCTGGATCCCCAAATCTGACTCCCCCGGGCGTGATCCTGCCAGCACAAACAAAAGGACGATGATCAAAAGAGAACAGCTCACCTTGTCTTCCTGCTGTTCCTTCGCTCATCCAAGATCTAATAAGAGGCCGGCCGGGCGGTGCGGGGATTTTGTAGCCCTTTGCCCCCCAGGACTGAGGTAACAGACCAACTCGCGCTTTGGGGAGAATTTTTGGAGGGTCTGGATGCAAACTGCCTCAGAAGCATGGAAAAGGACAGGCAGGGTCCATTCTTCCCACCTGGATCCCAGCTCCCTCAATTTCAAATTCCCACCCTTGGCTTGCTTTAAAAAAAGACGCAAAAGGAAAGCAAAAAGTTGGCTTCCAGATATATTAATCAGCGGGCTTGTTTCTGGCGGTGGACTCCTCCAGGCGCCCGTCGCGAAAGTCGTTAAGAAAGTTGAGCCGGGCGCAGCAGCATCAGTAGGAAAAGTCTCTTTGGTTGCACTGAATGGGGCTTCTATCTCACGGCGTCTCAGCAGCAGCAAGGCAGCCTCAACAGTTGGAACAGAGGCTGGATAATATTTTCCAGACGTCTCTTGCTCCCCCTCTCTCTTTTCCCTCTTTTTTTTCTTTTCCTCTTCCTCCTCCTTCTTCTCTTTCTCCTCCCCGCTTCCCTCTTTCTTTGACTGCTGGCTTTTCTCTGCCTCCTCTAAGTGAAGGAGTCTTTTAACAAGTGAGAGTTGGAGGTTGTTTTAATAGGGTGGAAAGGATGGGGGGAGAGGGAGGGGGAGGAGGGAGGGAACTCCTGCACGTTGCGAGCGGGGTGGGGGGGGGAGAAAAAGAGGGAGAGAACTGCCCATTCAGTGTAAGTTGGCTCCAGCACCAGTTCAAACTCGAGTGAATTCAATTAACTTAATTGCAAACATTTGGAAAGAAATGCAATACACACATGTTACCACCACCTGATTTCCTCTTCGTGTACAGGAAAGGAAAAGCTGGGCTTTTGAAATCCCTCCACCCCATAGCCCCCTTCTCTCCCTCCCATGCCACACAATCATATTGTATGTTTGAGTAAGTAAAGGATTTCTGGTCCTGGTAGTGCAGAAAATCCAGGTTTCATATTCGTTACCTCTCTCTCCCTTTTAAGTAGAGGGGATTGCTTCTGATGATTTCTTAATTCATTGGAATTGCTTTACACTTCTTGGCTTTGCTTTCTTGATCCACCCGAGCTTTGCGAGATAATAAGGGATACACTTGGAACTGACTTCAGGCCATTGGAAAGGAGAAATAACTTATTCACGGTTCCATGGCCGATCAGCCATTTAGAGAGAAAATGAAAGAAAAACAGAAATAAACATTTTGGTGGTAGTTAGTTCTGAAGTCTCTTTGCAGGTTTCCAGGAAAAGCTCTTGGCTAGATCAGCAAGGGAGTTCCATAGGCGAAAGCCAGCTTTTCTGCCCGTGCAGCAGATGCCCATGGAGCTGCCCTCAGACACTGTAAAGGGTGGGATACAAACATGTTTAAATAAATAAAATAATAAATAAAGTGTGAGTGCAAATGTGCATTGTGATGTGCACTCATGTTTGCACTTCCGTGCTCCTTCAAGCCCCGCTGAATCAAGTAATATTTTGCAGTCGCTTTCTATACCACCTGTACTCGTGGCGCAAAGGCGGCTGCTCAGATCTGGAAATGAACTTCCATGATTATTATTCACATAGAAAATGCTTATAATTTTCTAGCACTGTATAGATATGAAAAGACAAGACACTCCCTGGCTGCAGTCCCGAGGATACATAACACCAGCGCAGCAGAGATGCATGATACACAAAGAAAAAGCTAAGGGAGGGAAGAGGAAAACAAACATTACAACAGAGTTGCCTTTCTGGTGGGGGCGGGGGAGTAAAAAAGCCCCCCTGTGGCCACTCTTTCACTGGGTAATGGACGGGGCCAGGCGGGCAGCCACAGCCTCCCAGTTGCCTTTGGCCCCCTCACGGTTTAGGATTGTGTGTGGTGTGGAGAAACAAGAGAGGGGGACATTTGTCTCCTTCCATAATACCAGAATGCAAGAGGGTCATCCCTGAGACTGATTGGTGGAAGATTCAGGAAAGATAAAAGCAGGACTTCCTCACACAAAACGTAATTCATCTATGGAATGCCCTGCCACTGGAAGTAGTGCTTTGGAGGACCTTAAAGGGGCTGGGGCCTGCTCACGGAGGAGAGGGGCGTTCCTGGCTCCCTAATTGCAGGCTGGCATGTGCCTCCTCCTCTACCAGTGGCGGCCTGCTTGCATGCACCCGCTGCCAAGGAGCTTGGGCAGGTGGGGGTCTCACACCCATCCTGCTTGAGGGACCCCGTGGGGGTGCTTTGCCACCATGGGAACGGCGTGCTGCACTAGATGGACAATTGGCCTGATCCAGCATAGTCTTTCTTATGTTCTTCGGTTCAGTGGCAGAGACCAGAGTGCATGTTTGGCTCTTTGTTCCTTGGGCAACTTCTCCATACAGAAGACAATTAGCCCATATATTCTGTTGATTATTTAATTTATATCCTGCCTTTCCAGCAGTGCTGTATAAAATGGCTGGGAAATTAGATAAATCCTATTGTAAATTGTCCTAGTGATGCCCACTTGCATAGGTGATAAATGAGCTCGTAATTATCATGAATTTGTTCTCCTTTTCACTGAATGCTTTAAACCCATAACTTCCCATTTGCAGACATTTATTCACCTGGGAGTTGGGAGCCTTCTCAGTATTTCTCCTCCTTCTGCAGCCGATTTTAAGAATGCTCACCACTAGGTGGCACTGTTTAGAAAATAATAAGCCATGACGTTCCTGTCTAGCCAAAGGTTACACAGCTGCCAATTTTTTTGCTAATATATGCATATGGTAAACCTGAGTGAAAAGCATGGATCAGTCAGCCTCCCTTGAGGCTGATCCAGCTCAAGTCAATGGCAAAGACCCCAGCCGACTGTAATGCGTCAGGCTTACCCCTCTTAACCAATGTTCACATTCATTTAGCATCTGGTTCTCTCTTAAATACATGCAAATCTCTTTCCTGACATTTCCCCTTATTAGTAATTGGCCAAACTCCCCATAAGCTGCTCCAGAAAGAACCCGGGGTAAACGGTGTGCTTGCTGGACCTCTGGTGAATGTTCAGCAAGTTAAGCCAGACAAGGGCTACAAGAAGCCTTCAGAGAAAGAATTAGATCAGTGTGTCGTATTCACTCCCCCTTCTCTAATTTCCCCTTTAAGGCTGCCAGGCCACATTGATGCAGTGGCAGAAGAACGTACTGGCAAAATTATTCTCCTCCTGGGCAATTCTCAGGAAAGGTTCAGCAGCCCTGACAAGGTCTTGAGCAGGGGTAGGCAGTACTTCAGCCAAGGCACTGACCTGGCTGTTGGTCTAATCTCATGCAGGCGGGTGAAGCCAAGATGGAAAACAGTGCGGTGGAAGGGGGCAAGGATGGGGAAAGCCGAAAAGGATGAAGCACTGGGTGGATGGGGGAAGCCTTCTGGAAGGGATCAGTACAAACCTCTGGAAAGAGTGATATTTCTTTTTCCAGCAACCTGCTGGGCAGGGAGGAAGAAGTGGTGGGCAGGGAGAAGAGGTGGTAGAGCGTGAAAAAGAGAGATTGAAGGGGAGGCAGAAAAAGAAGGGACGGTTGAACAAGAGGAAAGTATGCCCCCCTCTGGCTCTGTCCACTGCTGACAGGAGGTTCCTGACCAACTATCCTTGAGAATGGAGCTCTCAACAGAAGAGAAGTCCATACCTCTGTCTTACACTGAGCAGAACACTTTTCCCTCCCAATGCACAGTCTTCATCCCACCAGACTTCCCTTGCTTGCCCACTCTCTGTCCCTGTGTCCCTCTCTCCCACTCCAAAGTAGCAATCCTGGCTGCTTTGGGAGGGATCAGCTGTACTTGAGAAGAGGACATGCAGACCCAACTCAATTTGCACTCCTGCTTTCCAAGTGCAACCATTTCACCTTAGCAGGGGAGGGGAAATGGGGTGGCATCTGGCATTTGCGAGGAGGCAGGGATTCCCGGGGATTCAGGAAGGGCTGTGTATGAGCAGTGGTTTGCCCATTCTTGACCTAGCATCCTGTCCAAACTGAATCCACTAGAGGTGGAGTCCTGAAATGATGGAATTCACTGGTAACTCCACTTAGGCTTCAATCCAATCAGGATGTCTGTAACTGTCTCTGCTTGAAGGATTATGGGTATTGTATGCAGGGAGGAAGGAGTGTGGAGGTGAAGGGTGTCTCTGCAAGAGCAAGATGTCTGACTTTAGACGTCTAAATGTGGTCCTCGAAGCAAGAGGGAAGGAGCCTGAGGCACCCTGACAGTGCTGATCCCCTCCTCCCTAGCCCTAGAAACCTTTCTCTGGTATTGCACTTCTCCTCCTGGGGGCACACCTGGTGTGGTTCTTCGTGTGCCAGGTGTGAAAGGCAGGGGCTCCTCAGTGATGGGAGCAGTGTGTTTTCCAGTCTAGGTGGATCTGTGCCTTCCTGAGCCTGTCTCGATGCTTCCTAGCAGCCAGAGAATTCCTCTGCTAATGATAGCATGGGCATTATTTGCTAGATTGGGGTGGGCAACTGGTGGGCCTCCAGATGTTGTGGCCTACAAATCTCTTCATGCTGCATTATCTGCTGTGCTGGCTGGGCCTGATGGGAATTGTAGGTGAAAACATCTGGACAGCCTGCACTAGACTATGGTGGCCACTTGTGATTCACCAAAAAGAGGACATGCATCACCAAAAGAGCGCTGCAGAAGAGAATGCTGGGCTTCAGAAAATCTGTTGATGTGCATATAGATGCATGCTGAGAAATTATTGTTGTGATTTAGCTACAGACACAGTGCCTCCCGAGCATGGTGTGGGAAACAATGACTGGGTGCTAACCTACACAGGTGTTAACTATTGAGAGCAGCTTCTAAGCCCCGAGGAGACTTTAAACACTCTTGGACCAAACAGCCCTGTAAACAGAGGATGCCTTCAAAAGAGAAAACAGTCTTCTGGCAGCATTCCAAATAGAGGACTGCCCGCTGTGAGAGAGGACACTTGGGGTAATGCAAGGCTTAGCTTTTGTTGCTGATGAGTCTTGACCAGCAAATATCTCATCGCATTGTGGATCCTATCATACAGTTGGCTGATAGAGACTGGATTACAAATTGGCCCATGGCCGAGCTAGAATGGATGGGTTTAGAACACAGGTCTGTACAATTACCTGTCCCCTGGGCCAATTCAGCAGATGTGTTAACCTTGTATTCATGAGTCCTGATTGCCTGAGAGAGACTGATTGCATTGCATGACTCAGTCCCACTCCAGCTTGGGAAGATTTGGGAAGAGGAAGAAGATGAATGGACTGCTGTAGTTACTTCTCAGGCAACACTACCAATCCCAAAGAAGACAACATGGCATTCCACCACCAATGGGAAACTATGCAAAACTATGGCAGCAAAGTTCAAAGAAGTTGTGCAGTTGTGCATGCGTTGAGAAAAGGGTGGCCACTTCTCAATCTCCGAAAAGAGGGAAAGTGTCATCAAGAAGAATAAACAGCAGCGGATACTGCACAAAATGTGCCTCTGGTATGTTTAGGTGTAGACATATTTCTAAAATATTTCTAAAATTATTTAGAAATAATTATTTTAAATTCTGATAGCTATACCTTGACATAGTGGCCCATGACCTCTGGGTCTCTGTGCCCAGTCTGC